ATATATATATATGCCGATTTCAGAAAGACATAATACCCCAACTTAAGTCACAAATTAAGGGTGCCTGTTCTGTTGCATAGCAACAAACTTGACCCACTTTTTACCATCAATTACATCTCTCTTAAAAACTAGGCCGGTGACCCCATATTTTTTTTTTTTTATAAAAATTGTTTTATTACACACAGAAGAAGAAACAGAGAAAATGATAAAAAATTAAATCTCTCGCGCTATCTGGCGACCCCTCGGGTGATCGCATGATGCCTCGTGCTAAAGTGCGCGTTAGAAATATTACTGTTTTGAGCCACCTTAAATCCTAAGGCAAGACTTACTCTGTCTTTCTGAACTCCTCCAGCGTTTCCACTGTTTATGACATAAATGAAGGCAAAGGCTTCTGGTAAATAGTGCGTGACTACCTCGTCCATGATTTCAGACTCGCCAATACCCGGACTATCAATTATAACCACGCCTTTCTGAAATATAGAGAATAGAAACGTGGGCAGCCATTTTTTCAATTATTCTACGAAGCACGTTGGTACAGGTGTGTACGAGATGATCAGCCAAATGAGTAGATTAGTACAAACTTAGAATGATTTCACTGTTTCTATGTTTAGTTTTTACTTAAGATTCATTTGAATTATGTTACATTTTTAATTGTGAGGTTATTCAGGTGCTGATGAGATTTTTTGACAGTTAGTTGGAACGAAGGGGCGCCATTGAACCGGTTTGCTTTGTCCTGTCTTTGGCATATACTTAATTTTACTTATATGACTGATGAGAAAGGACCAACACATTTAATGTTACGTCACTAATAAGTACCTTCAAAAGTTCGTGGGGCCAAAAGAGTTCAACTTTTTTGTAAATTGAGCCTTTTTCTCGCTCACCCTTCACGTGAACATAGGGAGAGATCTGCTGAAGATAACTTTGTTCAGAGGATGCCGCCTTTAGAGGGACCTCCTTAATTGAAGGCCCGGTTTCAGGATTCTCGTTTTTAAAGTGGGCCACGATTCTGGGTTGCTCTCCATATCTCAATTCGCATATGGTGGACGTTGTGCTGAGAAGGGAATATGGAAGAAGTTCTTCTCCTAGAATAAGGTTGACCAAGCTGCTTTTTCCAGAGCCTGTCTCACCTTTAAATGAATAAACCGTGAATTTATTAGTTTTCCTTCATAGTCTTCTTAGACCTCATCGAAATATCGTAAGAAATCAAAATGGCGTTTCTCCAAAATTCAAAAAATGATTGTGTAGTGTCTCCTGTTTTCTAGGGCTTTTTAATAAAGCTTGCATTGGACCTTTTCCATTTTTACAAGAAACTTGGCCTTCATAGAATGGTAACATTCCCAGGTTGCTACGTTGAGGAATGTTTCTAACCACTGTGCACTGACAATGTCAAGTGACTTCTGACTTGCCTGTTTTTGAGTAAGTTACAGTTGATTCGATGTCACGAAATTATTGTGTCAAATACCAATTTTGAGATCCTTTCTTGGAGAAGTTAGTTATTGAACCGCTTTTAAAACTCTTGCTTTGTGTCATTTACCTGCCACCAGAAGGAAGTATTCTTTTCGTTTTAGTTGTGCTTGGTGATTTTCTATCTTCCCTTTTAAGTTGACCACGTTCTTCTGCAGCAAAGCGAGAATTTTGTCATCCATTTTTTTCAGACACTCCTCGGTATCGGAGTAAGCCTTAAGTAAAGCTTGTCTTTTCCAGGCATCTTCATCTCTTGCTTCTGACAAAATGGAAAAGGCCTAAAACATGAAAGCAAAACCAATTCATGGCTCAAATCAAGCGTGGCCTTTAATTGTATTTGATTCTTTCAGTCTCTCATACCGGCGCAATTCAGTAATTTTGATACTGATGTTTATGCTTGTTATATGTAATACTACATCATTAGGAACTCATCGTTTTAGCTTTGATAGGAATTACCGACTTAGTGCAGTCTCCTACGCGCAAAACCCCCGCAGTAAAGGGTTAATGCATGTATTGTCACCTGGCGAGCGGAGCGATCGACGTGTCCCATTGAGAACAGTTGCAACTGGGACGAGAATTGTACAATGTAGCTTACATATGTGTAGGTTACTAATTCAATCAAAGGTTTAGTTTCAAAACATTTTTGTCAATTCCATTATAGTGATACTCAGAGATAATCCCAATACACTGTTTTCGATATATATATTAAAATTCAGCTTGGCAGTGAGGCTTAGAGGACACAAACAAAGGCAATTGAATGACACGTTTATTCATTTTTTTGTTTGTGTCCTCTAGGCCTCACTACCAAGCTGAATTGTAATATGTCGAAAGTGACCTATTTTCAAGGTCCAGAGCTAGTTCTAGCTGTTTTTTTTGTTTTGTTTTGTGGTGTTATGCATTTTATGCACAAAAACCACTGTGTCAGAGGCCGATCTATGTTGTTATTCGTCAGTTAGTCAGTCAGTTAGTCAGTCAGTCAGTCAGTCAGTCAATTTGAGGTCGAAATGACACGTGACAGACCTCCGAGAGTATAAATAGTTCGGCAGGTAGACTGGTTGTTGTTTCGTCGGCCATTGCTTTTGGCGTAACGTTGTCGTACTGCGTAATTGCAGCCGTTTTACCTGTTTTATGAAAATTTGGAAGAGCTTTCAGTCGCAAATTAGTTGCAATTGTTCAAGGTAAGTTAAGTTATTTTAATATCGCTCTGTCGTGCTGTTTATGATTTGTTTCCTTCCTTCCATCTCTAAAATAACTGCACTGCCTAGTTTGTTCTTTGTTATTTCATTCAGATGTTGGAGTGAGTTTCCTCGGCAAGCCAACATCTCTAGACTCGACTTTGTGTTTAGTAATGAATTGAATAAAGAAATCACACACGTGACCCATATTTTTCAGTATGATTAAAAGCTTCGATCGCCACCAACTTGGTTTTCTATAAACAACGAAATCTGGGAATAAGGGACAGTCACGCGATTAACCTGATGGAGAGCAACTGGAACGAATGGATTAGTCTTTTAAGTTGCGAGCCTTCTGTCATTGTAGTCATTTTCATTTTTCTTTCTTTCTTTTGTTTTTTTCGTTTTGTTATATTTTGTTATGTTTTTTTTTTTTTCCGAGCTGATAGCAGTTTATTATTTTTTTTAATTTGATTTTTGAAAATTTAATTTTACATATTTTTCTCAGTCATAATTATTGTAATTATTCGATGTTCTGGGATGTTCCGGAATGTTCCGGGATGTTCCGGAATGTTCCATGTCCCTGGTTTTAACGACGCCCGTCGTAAAACGTTCTACACCTTAATGTATCATTTTCTAAAGCGAAAAAAACACAATAAAATAGTCTGGTAAAAGGTGAGTTCTTGTTCTGTACAAATGGCATTGCAATAAATAGGGCTGTAGTGTTTTTTTTTTATTCCTATGAAGTGCTATTTAAGTACATTTATTTACACAATTATTAGCATCTACGATCGTCGACGGGAAACTGGCTGATATCCGCCATAAAACTGCAGAAATACTTTAGTCTACGCTTTCCCTTACTTTAATGGAAATAAACATACCCCTTTGCATTTTCTGAAACGATGTAGTAATTTTCTAAACTTACNGGGGGGGGGGGGAAATACGATCGCTTTAAAAAAAAAACGTCTAAAATTCCGAACTTAAGAGTAAAATATGAAAGAGACTTGAAATAAACCTTTTTAAAATAAAATTTTATGTGACATAGAGCCAAGAAAGCGCCAAAATATCGACCATTTCAAAGCCGTGGATTTCTGTGTGCATGATTGCCAAATTTATCGGCTAGACAAAACGCCGCTTCTGTTAATTGGTAAAATACTCATTTCTTTTTGAGGGCTCCTGGTGAAATTTTACTCACCATTTTTTTTTTGTTTTTTAAAAGACAATTTGATAATAGTACATTAATTTAGTACATAAATAGGTCCAAAAAGACTTTTTTTATTACTTTTATTTTATTGCCTCCTTATGCGCAAAATACAAATACAATAGCTGGTTTTCATATGACGTCACTAAAATTCGAACTACAAAACTATTGATCTTCTTAAGATTTTACTTAAATGATGTATAAGAGCAGCTGAAAACTAATATTCATACAAATTTTCGCTCCGAATGGGTTTTTGGTTTTGTGATACACTACGCTTCAATTTCTAAGCTTTTGCGTGACGCGGCATTTACGTGACGGCCTAGAGAGCTGTCATGACGGTTAAAAACGTGTCTTATTTCGGGGAACTTGGCTATCTGAACAGTTCATGTCTTAGAAAAAGTATTATTTTAATGTTTTAGAGTTTCTCGCGGGATAAATTCACGTTTTTGTAGCAAAACTCAGTGACAGATGTTTCTGTTGGTTTCCGGCCGCCATGTTGGTGCCCATACGGGTGGGCACCAGCATGGCGTCTCCATACAAATCTCTATAAATTTGGGTAAAAAAGTGACCAGAATTTTGGCGAGAGTCTTTGCATATTTACTTTCTTTCATTTCCCAGATTCTGGACTTTATCTATTGACCGGTTTTGATTTTTATTTTGATCTATTTGGAATTGCGTGACACTGAAAACCAGCAACACAGTAGAGTTATACAATGTGCAGAGTAATGGTGCAAGTGTGATTTACATTGTATCAAAAAAAAAAAATCGAAAAAATCAAGGAACAAAAACAATAGTAAGGCACACGAAACTTAAACGAAATATTTCCACTCATAGTTGAAATCTTCTAATTGTTTGTTTTTTATTGTGATTTGCTTGAGTGAATCAATCCTTTCTAACCTCTTTGCTGTGTCATGTATATGAACACTGGATTTGACAATGACTGATTAAGAGTAGGAAATCATCTACAAATGTACATAATGATTGCTGAAAATAGCCTCACATTGCTGCAAAATAAATGACGACCCTGCGGGACTCAGCTGTTGGTGTTGTTTTACATTTAAACAGGCTTAGTCATTACAGCAGCAAAACATCTTGACAGTACATTTACAAGTTCAATTGACATGTGTAAACAGTGCCGACATCAGAGAGTTAAAACTCACATAGGACAATGCACAAAATAGGACTAAATTGAGCGATTGTTGTTGTGTTATGTCCCATTGGGACTATGAGCTTAATAAATAACTATTATTAGAGGATAAAGTAAGTAAGTATAAAAAGAGTACTCTGCATTGCATTTCCCACTTAACAAATTGTAATGACTTGACTACCTTTTCAATTGTGGTAATTTAACTCCCAGATACTGACATTTAAAAACAACATTCGGCAACCGATTGGAATAAAATTAAGCATACGACCACAAGTACGCATTTGCGGACCTATGTTTTAACCAGCAAACAAGTCACTACTTCCGGGAATAACAAATTCAATCGAATATCGGTTTTCATCGTTTGACATTTTGTGTAATAAGTAGTACTGGAGGAAATGCATGCCTGCCCCTCATCTAATCAGGCTTGACAAAAACGTTCAACGTTCAGTCAACTGAGTGGTTCATTTTTTTTCTGCTACTCTATACTGCGCCCGTGTTTTGTCTCCAACCGCTAGCCTAGACAAGAAGCTCTTGCTACAAATTGCAATCAATACTCTAATGGCGACTACTGCCTGTTGATATACAGGAAAACTCGTTCCGGATTAAACTCTGTAAGGAAGCAAATGATTTCATTACTGTCGCTGTCACTGTAACACGCGTTGCCTCATTGCAAACAAAACAAAGTCCCCAACATTTCCTGTTTTAAAAGAGTTTTTAATATTCAATCTGAAGAGTTCTTACCTGACCAGCAGTCCAGCAAGGCTCTTCTACGGACTGATTTAATTCCGCTCTCACTCGTGATTTCATCTCATCCAATGTTTGTAATCCTCTCCACGAAATACCAAGCGCCTTCATCACTTGAAGCATATCCAACAGATCGTCGATTTCTTCGATGGTTTTCGATTTACAAGCCATTTTACCAGTTTAAACAAATCTGAGCCGAGATCATAAAACAAAACGATGGTTTAAGATGAAAGGCTACATTGTAACGCAAGAAGAAGTTTAACGTTCATGCACTGATGTCCCTAAAGCTACAAAACAATTGCAGCGTTGTTCTTGTGAGCAGAGGGCATGGCTAAGTGAGTCTCAGTAAACTGATACGGGGAGATACGTCATTTGTATTTGTTTTGCATAGCGTTCTCTCAGCAGATACACTCATTTTGTCCTGAAAAATCTATGAGCTGAAGATTTTATCAGGAAAAGTACGGCAAAAAAATGTTTCTATACTCAGTTGCAGCTTCTAGTTGTCAAATTATCAACGGGGCATTCAAATTCCGAATGAAGCCCGATTATTAATCCAATTATATTCAACTTTCAACCACGTCACAGTCGTTTACCCTTTTGTTCTCGTCTTTGCAGTGGAGAGGTTAATTGAAAGTCGCACGATCGAGTGACAAGGTATTTTTCAGAGGGGTGGGAAAGGGGGAGAGGGGAAAGTACCTATTTCGACGTTAACTGAGAGGTGACATGCCATTAAAAGAGTCATAGATTGATCTCATCATCAGTTCGAAAGCGATTTATAGCATCTAATTTTGTGGTTAAAGTGGCGTGTTAAGAAAGATACCACGTGAAAGCTATGGTAGGTAGTGATCGGTCTTCCAAGATTTTTTTCCCTCTCATTCGCACACATGGCACTCAGCCGATACTGTGCCTATGTGGCATATTAGAAAGCCCCTCCTTTTCATGTTAAAACCCTGCGCTGTTTCCATTGATATGATTGCGTCGGAATGGCTGTGCATGCTACATAAATTAGCGTACTCTTCTTATAGAGACCCTCGTAACACCCGTGGGTATCGAGCAAAGAATTTATATGCCCTCCGCACTTGAGATCGTTCTGTTATGCGTTCATGCCACGAAAGGTCTGTTCTGTGTTCTCTTTTTGCGGTTATTCCCACGTTTCCGTCGCTGAGCAAATTTCCTTATGGCTGAAGTTCTTGCTGCTGTTCCTCCTGACGTTTTGATAGTCACTTGTTCGGCCGCAGAGGCCGCAGCTGTAGTTCCTGCTACCGGTAATAATCCCGCTCTTTCCGCTAAGGGCAAGTTTTTAATCTTGGCGTCTTAGATTTCATGGCGTGTGTCGCCTCCTGGTTTGTATGGCGTATGTCTCCTTCTAGTTTTATGGCGCGTGTCGCCTTCAAGTTAGTTTTCTTGGCGTGTGTCGTTTTCAAGTTAGTTTTCTTGGTGTGTGTCGCCTTCAAGTAAGTTTTCTCGGTGCGTGTCGCCTTCAAGTTACTTTTCTTGGCGTGTGTCGTTCTCAAGTTAGTTTACATGGCGTGTGTCGCCTTCAAGTTAGTTTACATGGCGTGTGTCGCCTTTAAGTTAGTTTTCTTGGCGTGTGTCGCCTTCAAGTTAGTCTTCTTGGCGTGGTGTCGCCTTGTAAGTTTCATGGTACGTGTCGCCTTCAAGTTTTCAAGGCGAGCGTCGCCTCCTGGTTTACATTGCGCATGTCGCCTTCAAGTTCGTTTTTACAGCGTGTGTCGCCTTCCAAGTTTGTTTTCACGGCGTGCGTCGCCTTCAACTTTGTTTTTATGGCGTGTGTTGCTTCAACGTAGTTTTAACATTCAAAGTGTATGCTCAGCAGTGCTTTATAAGCTTCCATAAAGTCTGCCGCGCTGTCTTTTATAGTCCCTCGTGTTGCTTTTCATGGTGTTTGTTTTCTCTGGGTTATGTCCCTCTTAATATCTTGGAGCCCGCCGTTGTAGCCGGATTTGTCGTTCGTATTTTATTTTTTCGTAACGTTTGTTAATTTTGGAAAGATTTTGTTCCCCGGGCTTTTATCCCCTTTTGTTGTCTCGAAAACTCATTGTTTTATATTCAGGTACTTTCTCCGTGGTTTTGTCATAATCAGCACGAGATTTTTAAAGGTGATGAAGTTTACTAATTTTCGTTACTTCTGTGCACATGTCGTTCATATTTCGGAATTTATATGTACAAAATGCAAATTACTTTAGTTGTATTCGTCAAGTCCTATTCTCTGTACTTGCCTGGCGTGTTAGCGACTTATTTGTCCGGACTTTATGCCATGTCGAGCATTTAGTTGTTCCTGTTTTCGTTATAATTTTGTCGTATGTTATGCGTGTAGCGCCGACCGATTGCTTTGGTAAGACAGTTTGGTTTAATGCGGCCAATTTTTCGTCGCGTGTTGCTTTATTGGCTGACCTCAATTTTATTTTGACCTTTTCGCTAGGCTTACTGGACAGTTCTAGAACTTGAAAATCAGTTTACGGAGCTCGAAAGGACCTCCGAGTCCAGTTCTGTTGCGGTAGCTCATCTGTCCCTCCACAATAGGAACACTTCCGCTATCCATTTGGCGGATCTGGGACGGGTTTTCTAAACAATACCCGATACTCTGTCTGTGACGGGGTCCCTGGATCGCCCTGGTTGGTGGCTTCCCTTTTTCTTAACCTGTTTGTTTTGGTGGTTTATTACTACTTTTTACTCCTCTTACCCTGTTCATTTCAGTCGTCTCCTAAACCGTTTTACCTTCAGTTAAAGGTGCTCGAGAATCCGCTGGGGAGCCCCCAGCTGGGCCGGTCCACTCCCGTCAATCCAGATGGTAGCGTCCGGAAAAAAATCATTTTCGCCCATATCTTACTGTCTTCGCGTGTGCCATAGAGATGCAGCATAATAAACAGTTATTGGTTGAGGTTTTTGTGATATCCGGAATAACCAAGGTCGAGGTAAGTATTATCAGCCAAAGCCGAAGGCTGAGGCTGATAACACTAACCGAGACCACGATTATTTCGAATATCACAAAATCCGAATCTAATAATTGTTTTATTATACATTGTTTTAAGAAAATAACGACAAACACATTATCGCACCGAACACAGTTTGTTTTCGACAAGCCACGTTCTTACTTCTTGTCCGTGAACTTGACATTGCTCCTGGAAATCATGCATTCCACGCGCAACCTACAGATTATTCACTAATCTCAGTGCTAGCAGATTAGTGAATAATCTGCAGGTTGCGCTGTTTCCCAGAGTTAACTGTAGGCTTTTAGCCAATGAGAAGACATATGGTGACTACAATGTATAATGACAATGAAAATTTTACTACTAGTATACACAGATTGACTGCTATCAGTGTTCCTTTTAGTTCTTAAAGGGCTGCCTTTAACAGGAATAGGAAATATCTCGACTAAGATAGATAAAATCGGAAAATGGAAGACCTCTTCGAAATAATTAAATCCCATGGAGCACACAGTCTTGTTTAGCAGGATGTGGGTAAATAAAGGAATAAAAAGAATGGAAAATTAAACTTTGTCTCGTATTCGAAAAAAAAATTGGCCAACTTGTAAAAACATATTCCAACTTCGTTTTGTGTCTGTTTGGTTTCGTGGAAGGTACGAAATTTAGAAATTCGAGTGAATTTTCGGAATGCTTTAAAAATGTTTGGGCAAATTTAAGAGTTGCCTCCCTTGTCAGTATTATATAAATATTGTTTACCGTTTAGACCTTTGGAATCTGATGAGAACTGTTATGGTAGTAGTGGTATGGGCTAGTCCAGTACAGATTTGACAGGTATTGTGATGCAAATGAAAAGGTATTGTTATGGAAAGGAGTTCTATTGTTTTCTCGAGTTTGACGTATCCATGGTAACCAGAAGCCCCGCCCCCTTTGACGTCATTAATCTCGTTTCCCTGTTGACCGAGTAAAATGTCTGGTTTTTAACATAAACAAAGAAATCACGCAATTTTAAAGTTAACCATTAACTTTAATATCAAACGTTTCCCTAAAATTACAGGACAGAGCCGTGTGCAACTCCCTAGTGGATTGCGCTCCTTATGAATGAAACTNCCCCAAACTACTAGGAGAGGTCGGATCTCCATAGGTCGTTAACAGAGTCACATAGGGATTCTTCTTTTTCTTTTTACTCTTCATAGCACTGCCAGTCTGTAAAGACATTGCCTTCAGAGGTCTGGGTAACGTTCACGAATTGTCAGAAACCACTCAAATGACTGAGATTGATGTTTCAACCACAAGATAAAGACCACAAAACGAAACACGTTTTTACTCACATCAACGACTTCAAATTCTTTCAAGGGATCGTCGACGGGATGAAGGGGAATGACTTTACCCTTTCCGTATTTCAAGTAAACCACCTCACATCTGTCACACAGTAGGGACCAACTCTCACGACTACACATGGTTAATGTTCAAATGATTTTATTTTTCAACTTACACACTCCTATATACAATGTCGTCCAGGACGTCATACATCATTTTAGTAGTGGTATGGGCTAGTCCAGTACGGATTTGACAGGTATTGTGATGCAAATGAAAAAGTATTGTTATGGAAAGGAGTTCTATTGTTTTCTCGAGTTTGACGTATCCATGGTAACCAGAAGCCCCGCCCCCTTTGACGTCATTAATCTCGTTTCCGTGTTGACCGAGTAAAAAGCCTGGTTTCTAACATCAACAAAGTAATCACGCAATTTTAAAGTTAACCATTAACTTTAATGTCAAATGTTTCCCTAAAATTACAGGACAGAGCCGTGTGCAACTCCCTAGTGGATTGTGCTCAACTTATGAATGAAACTATTTACAAAAGTGTTTACAAATGGCACAACAGTTCAATCATGTCCACGTNTAACTGATAATTAAAGTAGACAACGCTAAATCTTAAGTTAAATAAGTATGTAGATAAGAATTGACAAAATCTTTTGTCTTAATTAATTCAATATGGTGTCATTGTTAACTTCTGTGAACCAAACTTTATTCATTCTTCTGTAACTTAATTGTTGAAAAAAGAATTGTAATTGTTATAATTGTCGAGTAAATAAATAACTAACTAAGTAAATAAATAAAATTTAAAACATGGCCATAATTTACTTCTAAAAGGAAGAGAAAATAATATTTATAAAATGAAATGTGCAACTAAAATACATAAGCAGCATGCTCCTCTCAACGATGAATTTATGAATTTCTTATTGCAAATTTCACTTCATTACTTGTTTCGGTAATTCGCTCTTCCAATGAAAAGTTTAAAATGCAAAACAAGACCTGATTAAATACTCAAAGTTTGATTAATCCAATCAATCTTTGAGTATTGGATTGAGCAGTGTTTAGAGAGTATAAAAAGAGTGTATTTTGATGATGATAGCACTAGTTCTTAAGTAGTGGTATGGGCTATAGTCCAGTACGGATTTGACAGGTATTGTGATGCAAATGAAAAAGTATTGTTATGGAAAGGAGTTCTATTGTTTTCTCGAGTTTGACGTATCCATGGTAACCAGAAGCCCCGCCCCCTTTGACGTCATTAATCTCGTTTCCGTGTTGACCGAGTAAAAAGCCTGGTTTCTAACATAAACAAAGTAATCACGCAATTTTAAAGTTAACCATTAACTTAATATCAAATATCAAAGGTTTCCGTAAAATTACAGGACAGAGCCGTGTGCAACTCCCTAGTGGATTGCGCTCAACTTATGAATGAAACTATTTACAAAAGTGTTTACAAATGGCACAACAGTT